ATTGTCGTGCGTGCGTCTGTCTGTGTGTGTGTGTGTGTGTGTGTGTGTGTGTGTGTGTGTGTGTGTGTGTGTGGTGTGCGTGTGCGTGTGCATGTGCGCGCATGTGTGTGTGTGTGTATATATATGTGTGTGTGTGTGTGTACATACACACACACATGTGTGTGCGTGTGTGTGTATGTATGTGTGTGCGTGTGTGCACGCACATGTACGTTCACGCGCATGCACGCACACACGCATGCACACATGCACGCACGTATACGTGCACACACATACGCACACACACACGCACACACACATGCACACACACACATGCTGTAACGACGAAGATGACGTTACCCGTTTAAATGTAGATCGGTTGTAGCGATGAATATTGAAACTCCAAACTCCAAGCAGTAGTGTTCAGCAAAATAGTATATTATATGTGGTTTGAGAAACGCTCGCACAGAGGCACGCAGACGCGTGCCTCGCGCACTCCCGTCCGATCTCCCCCACAACCAAGAACCTTCTCCTTTATACATTTCTAGATAACAAAGAACGTCGGCGCGCGCCCAGACAACCGACATATGCTGCCCACATGTACAACACTCCCTCTCAACCGTTTCGCATCTCCATCATTCATACTACAACAAACAGGCTACCGCCGACCAACACATGCAACCCCTTGTCGCGACATTTCTAAACACAACTACTATTTTACCATCTGTAAACCATACTTTACAGTAGTGTAAACCCAGCTTAAGCCGTGCAACCGTGGACTCGGACCTCGCTAACAAAACACAATTTTCATACTAAAAAAGAATTGAGGCCAACGAGCATAGATAATTAAAAAATATATATCGGTAAACAGGTAGATATCGTCTCTCTATAAGACACGGTTACTTTAATAGGTAAACAATGCCAGCAGCAATAAACCTGCATGCAGTCAGATGAGTAACAGTGAAAAATTGACCTTCGTCTACTCTTGACTGTTCGCCCATCTTCGTGCTCCAGACGTCGGCTACCATCGGTGTAGGATGTAGACAACGAAGATGCAAAAATGCGTCACCAACAGAATCTGTCTCTTCAAAACTTTATTACGCTATCTTGAACGTGTACTAAACACCGACGACGATGAGACGATAATGATTACAATAGCTTGACAGCGACAGCGCATGCACGTGCGTGTGCGTGCGTGTGCGTGCGTGTGCGATTCACGAAGATTTGTGACAACTGTACATCACTTTACATCACTAAAGTAGTCACCCACTTTTCATGTAGAAAAGGCTGGCTACATGCTAAACTGACAAAACGAACTTTCTATGTACCAGTCCTTGTGTTTTGAAAAAGGCAGGCGAGTGAAAAATCACACACCTTGGCTTGCCGAGGTGTGTGATTTGCATCCGAGTGCCCGCAGGTCACGAGGCAAACTAGGGGGGTTCGGGGGCATGCCCCCCTGGAAAAAATTTGAAATCTAGACTTCATGAAATGCCATTTCCAGCATTTTGGGATAAAAATTAGCTCTGCATTTGTACTCTTAATTTGGACATTTTGTAGGTGATTTTTTTTCATCTAACAAAATATCAGTTCTTGAACGTATTGATGGATAACTTGAATCACACATTTAGCATGTTTAGTCAAAAAGGAACAACACTCAATTTTTCAAAGCAGACTATTAAAACTTTAATAGTATTTGCAACATCATAATCATTCTGTCGCTTGTTTGCATTTTTGTCAATTTGAGGTATTTCAGTTTCATTTCAAGAAAACATACATGTTTTGCAATAAAACTTCACTAAAAACCTTAATCAGGCTTTTTAATTTTCATTGTCAGCTCCATCTTCATCACCAGTCTCGATCTGCTGTAGCAATTGAATACAGTAACAGTCATATTCATCATGTATGGCTCGCGTATGATAGGCCGGACGGTTTTGGTTTTGGTTTTGGTTTTGGGTGGGTTCGGGTGCAAAGCAGTCAACGCAGGCAGTAGGCTTTGTGAGTTACGACGGTCGACAGGTGTGTATACGGTTCAGTGTGTAACGGAAGAATACCAGAGTCAACGATACGTCAAGCTTTCGTCGGTGATAAATAAATGATGAGCGGATGAATTGATGTTAAAGACTGCTGTTGGTATAAGCGTTACAACTGTCGTTATAAACATGTGAACCGACTTCCGGCAATATCCGTGAAGTTTACAACCGTTTGCGCTTATCTTTGAGTTTATAAGTTGAATTAATGAAAAACAAAACACGAAGAGAGGTGTGCGTTTTGATAATGCTTAGATGCGCGTTTTTTCGCACTTCTCATGATCAATCGAGGTGCGCGATGGCGCGCGAGCGCGATCGTGCACCTTAAAACACAAGGACTAATGTACCGCTGTGTTTTTCTTCGTATGGGCTTAACTCGTCGCGCCCTTTATAATTTCGTAACTAAACAAAACTCTGGCAGCTATAATCGGTATAATCGATGCAATCTTCCCTGCAGACGCGGCGTCGTGCGAGCACGCTGGTAGCAACTCGTCGCTCACTGACGTTCCGGAGGACGAGCCACTGCTCGAAACAAGTGGCAGCACGACGACGCTCACCGACACGCCGGCCGATGGCCCCGCCAAGCCGCTCTTCTACATCGACGGCGCCGAGGGCGAGGCGGCGGCGGCGGTGACCTCTGACCTCGCACTATCGCCCGTGCACGAGCGGCTGGATCGCTACACGGCCGATCTCTCCGAGACGGCGCTTCTCGGTGATCGCTCAGATTCTGACGTCTCCCAAAAAGTGGCGCCGCTCGTCGCCCGCGCAGACTCGGACGCGAGCCGCCCGGGGGCGCCGCTGAGCGAGCGCTCGGACTCGGACGGCTCGATGAGCAGCTGTGTGTCGTCGCATCGTGCCGCGCGCCGCACGGACAGCACGATCCTGCTGCAGATCCAGTGCGACAGCGAGAAAGCGCTACACGACTACGAGTCGGCCGTCGAGCACAAGCGCAAGCACTTCCATGCGGAGCGGCAGCAGAGCATCGTCGATCCGGCATCGTACACGATCCCCCCGCCCCCCGCGAGTGACGGGAGCACGGACGACGGCGCACAGAGCTTCAGTCGGTCGATTTCCGCCAACAGCAATTCGAAGAGCAGCAGTAATATCAGCCACAGTCAGAGCTATTACAGGTGAGTAACATTAGCTGCGGTTAGAGGCGTTATCGCTGTTTGCATTGTCATGTATATTAGAAATGTGAATTTGCGAAATATGATTCGCATATGCCGGGTTTTTGTTGTTGTTATTTATGTTTTATATTGATGCTTTTCACAGGTAGATGTTTTCAGGCCTCTTGCCTCAAAATAAAATTGTTAGAGCTTCATATATGTATGTATTAGAAGCATATATATTGCCTTGAGTTTAGAAATGATGAGATGCCGCTATCTATTTTTGTAGCTCGGATCTGCCACCAGAGGTCACTTCCTATTACATCACTGATGGTACAGATGGCAGATCGGTAGAAGATATGAATAAAGCCATGTCCAGCTCCCTATCGGAGACACGTGTGTTAGAGTACTCACCAAGGTAAGCCTTCTGTATTAATCCATAATACCAGGAGTGAATAATAGTAGAGGAACATGACTCGCTCGAAACACAAGAAATTCAAAATTTCCATGCCCAAATTTACCTATGGTTTATTACGTGAAATCCAATAACAATGACATCAGAACTAGCGTTGTACAACCAATTTGCACTCTCACTTTACTTTGTATTGATACTTCTTGTTATGTAGTTATAACTTCGAAAGTCAGATATATGGTTTTAGTCATTCAAATAGTAAAGTGGCTATCATTCCCACGCGATCAGGAGTCTGACGCGATAGCGCAAACAAGAGGCAGCTCGCTGTGTGATTTTATTATTACTGATATGTTATACTCGGTGTGGTTTTGCCATGCACTGTTGAATTAATATTATTACATCACAAAAATCTAATAATAGACTGGCATAGCTTATTCGATTGTAGATAATATGTTGATGAAATATCCTCATTATGTTGATATTTCATACTGTAAGATGTTTGTACAATTAGAAAACATACGTCTCACAAAAATGAAACTGCCTGGCGAGCAACTGCCCGTAGCTATGCAGTTAACACATGGGTTTTTGTTGTGTAATGTATGTTTTTAGAGACGATTGAATACTTTCATTGGATCTCTATAGTTCACATGCTAATAAAGTTTATCTCAGTTAGATCCAAAATAGAATGAGGAAGTCTATCTGAGAGATGGACGAAAATTTCATCAGTGTAAGTATTTATTACTTAATTTGGATCTAACTAAGATCAACTTTATTAGCATATGTTAGAGACTTTGTTATAGATCAATGACATCTTATACAGTATCATTTACTGCCAATATCAATGTTAGTTGCATTAAATTGGCACAAAAATTTTTTGACGTACAAACCGCAAGAGAAGATGTGACATCATTAATATTTAGAATGAGCCGAATTTCGTACTTATTCACATGTGTGTCATTGTGTCCTGTCATAGGCACAACTGTGCCGGCCTACTGGTAAACTCGCCATCGATTGCAAGAGGGGTGGGATCCTGTCAACAACGTGTTCTATGCACGTCTTGGGGGATTTTTATAGAATATTTGTTTGAATGGTTGATGAACCCACTTATATAATATCTGCTCTACATAATTTCCTATACATGATGGTGTTTGTCTTCGGTTTTTCAAATACTTCGTAATATAACTAAATTTCAGGCATTTAACATATTTAGCAGCTACTCGTATTAATTCGTTTTTAATTAATAGTAAAAGTAAAAAAATTGGCATGTAGAATAATTAAAGTCATTGAACTAAAGGAATGTTGAAAGTTTGGCTTTAGTGTTCTCATTTTAAGTTCTTGATGATTTTCGAATATTTGAGAAATGTAGCAAGGCTTGGAATACAGTGATATATATTGGAACTTTCAGGATAGTCTAGAGTGGTTTTGATATCTATGTTTTGTTTTAGCATGCTTTTTATAATTACCCCTTGTTATACATATGTCAATTTAAACATATTTTAATGCAGCATGAACAGTATAAGTCAGTAAAAACAGGGGCTGAAAATAGGGCAAGTCCGAGGTTCGGGACCTGCCGATTTCACGCTCGGACCTTCGCAATTTCCAAGCAGAAAGTTCGTCGGACTTATCAATAATTTAAAGTACTCGACTTTCATCAAATAAAACATCATTAAACCATTGAAAATTGTGAAGAAATAAAGCGAAAGTAGATAGATTTTTGGTCACTGTCGACATCTAGTATCATATTTAATATTCACAATGAAACATATCATGTACCAAGTATAAGAGTCAAATTTACCGAAAATCTGATCGAAATTACACGTCCTGATAGGGCTGCAACGTTAGTAGCATGGTTGTTTATAACGGAAGTTACGACGCATGTATTGTACCAAACAAGGGCAAACATGAATTTGTTTATGTTTGGTTTTGTATAAAAAAAATGAACCCACTGTTACCAAACGATCTATTAGCCAAACAAACGTTACATATTTGGACCTTTCAAATCTTTCCTCGGACCTTCCAAAAATATTGCTGAAAAGTCCTGGACTTTCGGGCAAAAACCACCATTTTCAGCCCATGAAAAACATTATTATTATTATTAGAGCTTGTAGCTGGCTCATCATAGGTAATAAGATGTGCGTGACAATAACGCACACACGCACGCACGCACGCGCGCACACACACACATATGGAGGAGTAGAAGGGTGAAAAGCGAACTATAGTCTATTGTAAAGCGAACTATATAGTCTATTGTAAAGCGAACTATATTACAATGTTATTAAATGAAGGTACTGTTGGACTGTAAAATGAAAATTTGTACATTCTAACCCCCCTAAAATTTTCTCTCAACGGATTTAGACGTTTCAAAACATCGACCCTGGGACTGTGAAATCTGCGGATTTCCGCGGATCCGCGGAAGATTCCCATCCCTGGGTACTAGTAAATAGATTTCGTATTTATTTAGCATTATTACCTCCGCCCACGGAGTTAACGGAGTAACGGAGTGAAGGGGAGGTAATGTAATCGGTCTCGTGTGTGTGTTCGTGTGTGTGTGTGTCCAGTCCGCGCGGCGCGATCGATAGCGCGTCGACTCAGCGAGCGGCGAGTCAGCAGCAGGCAAGTGAGTCAGCAGCAACCACCAGCGAGTGGCGAGTCAGCAGCCGCCACCAGCGAGCGGCGAGTCAGCAGCCGCCACCAGCGAGCGGCGAGTCAGCAGCAGGTGAGTGAGTCAGCAGAAACCACCAGCGAGCGGCGAGTCAGCAGCCGCCACCAGCGAGCGGCGAGTCAATCAGCAGCAGCCAGCAGCGAGCAGCGAACCAGCTCGTAACACATACCGGGTACATGTTACATGCTGGCGGAGGTATGCACTCTCCGTGAGTGCCCTCTGTCTAGTATTTTATTGAAACGCTTCAAGTGCCTGTGCTCTCAGTCTCACTCTCAGTGTCTCACTCTCAGTCTCAGCAATAGTAAGTGTAGGTATACCTTCGCTTTCACCGACTTCATACAGACAACGTCCAATTCTTTTACAACTGAAGCCGATGACTTTCTCGTCATATTTTCATGCAACACTTGCAATGATGCCAATGAAAAATCGTCGTTTCCGTAAAACAAGAGCCTCCACGGCCCAGAGATTGTCCGTGATGCGTTGACAGGGTCAGTGCAGGCTGAGGCTGTGTTGTATGTGCGAGTCGTTAACTGACCATATATCTTTCTAAAATCTGACAGCAGTACAGCTGAACAAACCCTACACTTATAGCGCATATTCAACTTAAAAGGTACTTCAAGTTATTGAAGAACTACTACATTTTACAATTTAATATAAAACAGCCATATAAAATGTAGCCATTTCGAAAGCAGCGCCACCACTGCTATGCGTTTCATGCTTACTTGCCCGAGAACAAATATAAATAAGATAATATAGTAATATAATAAAGATTACAGTCCTTTAGTATTGATATAAGTAAAAATGAAAATGCTTAGTTTATTATGTGTTTGATAACGTTAACGTTAGTAAAAAATGAATGATCGCTATCGGCTATCGCTATCGCTATTCGGCTATCGGCTACCTCCTCGGCCGAATTTCCGTCAGAGAACGAAAGATGACGTCATTAATAATGTAGAGCAGTTTTTGATTATATTTGTGTTTGTCTTATAGACGTGTAATATACATACTTTCGGAATCAGAGAAGTCTTCAAACTATTCACTGATGGTACATTAATGTCTAGATTTTTAGATATAACATTTACAAGCGCTATTCACTCCTACTATCAAGTTTCTGTCTTGCCTCTGCCTCTGCCCTGGCACTGTTACTGTACTCCGTACTGCCTACTGCCGTACTGGTTCAAGGATAGAGATAGGGTTAGGGTTAGGGTTAGGCACATTGGTTTTATTGGGACCCATGTTCTCTATCCTTGGGCCCTCTGTACTCTGTACTGTAGTCTGTAGAGTGTAGTGTAGCCTGTAGGCCTAGTCTGTACATAGCTTCAAGAAACGGTATTGCTAGGGTTAGAATATTACCAAAGTGGAATGTTGTAGTCTGTAGATTACCAACACGAATGTGAGCTGTGATTATAAATTATGTCACGTCCTCGACAGGCATACGCACAACCTTTTCTATGCAGCACCGACAGCGTTTACGCAGCGAAGAGGACATGCTAACCCGAAGCTGACCACATGTCTGATGTCGAGCAGATGGCCCTGGTGGGCGACGACGGCCACGATGGGGAGCTAGGCGAAGAATCGCACTCCCAGTGCAGCGACAGCACCATCCAGGCTGGCAGTAGCACCTCGCTCGCAGGTAGCGTATAGCTAGGTGTACACTACCGACTTTGTGTTGGTGAATTGGACCAACTTTCCAACTATACAACCGACAATCGGCAGTGTAAACGCAAAAGTTGCGCGACCAACCGATCGATAGCAACTAGTTGGGAGATTAGAACATGTTCTATTTGAATTGCGAAATTGGTCCAACTCGCCAATTTGACATTATTGATTAAGTCAGTAGTGTAACGACGAAGATGACGTTACCAGTTGCAAAGTAGATTTGTTGTAGCGATGAATAATGAAACTCCAAACTCCAAGCAGTTGTGTTCAGCAAATAGTATATTGTTTCTCAAAGCACATACGCTCGCACAGAGGCACGCAGACGCGTGCCTCGCGCACTCCCGTCCGATCTCCCCCAACCAAGAACCTTCTCCTTTATACATTTCTAGATAACAAAGAACGTCGGCGCGCGCCCAGACAACCGACATGTGCTGCTCACATGTACAACAACCCCTCTCAACCGTTTCGCATCTCCATCATCCATACTACAACAACCACGCGCCTGGTTCACTTACCAAAGGCTATGCGAGCCGATGAGCGTCGTACGGATGCACACACACGAATACGCACATACATACAGAGCGCTGGGAAAATGTCAACCGTCGTGCGTGCGTGTGTGTGGGTGGGTGTGTGCGTGCGTGCGTGCGTGCGTGCGTG